CTTCGAAGAATCCCTTACTAGATTGATATTGGCCCCACCGGAAGCGTCCAACCAGGTCGCCTTGACAGCATAACCAAGTTGCGAAAATGAGGTCAAACCACTTATATACATAACTTATTTACATTTTATTCTTTACATCTTTCTGTCGGCTTTTGGATGAACGAGTTTGTTTTTTATTGCTTACTTGATTAGATGGCAATATTTTGGCACCACTTCTGGTGTGATTCGCCTTCTGCCCGGCAGAGAATGGCGCTCAAACTTCGTCGGATTCTATGATGACTATGACCCGAGACTTCGCTCTTGGTACATCTCAGCTACCAGTGGACCCAAGGACGTGGTGATTGTTATAGACTGCAGTTTAAGCATGCGTGGAGAGAAGTCCGGAATCGCTAAGGAGGTGGCGATCGCGATAATACGAACACTGACAAAACGTGATTATATGAATGTGATATGTGCCAGAGCCAGCCATTGGGACGAAGTGGGCCATTGGTATCCATACCAAACCGAGGTGCTCAGCTGCCAGGAGAATCACATGGTGCCGGCTACTCTGGCGCATCGACGCGATCTGATCGAGAAGATCAACGCTATCGAGCCGGGTGGTACCACGGAGATGGATGCTGGCTTTGATCTGGCGTTCCGACTGCTCGGCTCCAAACCGAGAACGGGATGTCATTCAATCGTGATATTCGTGACGGACGGCAGAGATACAGAGGGCGAGGGTGTGCGGTGTCATGCCGGCTACTACACTCGGTCAGGGTACATGCCCGGTCCTGTATGCAAGTGAGTCGAAAGTTGGCAGTCTCACTTACCTTCTAGAGAATATTGGTTGTTGAGCCCTTATTTTCGAGAATCGCAAGGTCGATCTGCGAGCCTCAAGTCTGCCTTCTTAAATCAGAATCTCTGGTCAGTTGAGATGGCAATCTAGTTTGTACTTTGTGGTTTGCTGAGGAGTTGCAGAATCGTTTCTAATTGCCTTTTTAAGGCTTTTACACAAAAACCATGAGTTAAGCCACATGCCTATAACCAAGATGGCACACCTGCATCCTAGTTCTAGTCAAATCACTTGGTATGAAATCAGAAATTCTCTGATAATTTATTGTCCAAACTATTAATTTACCATTCTTCGGATTGTCTCAAAAACTATTTTTAATATAGGCAAAATCTTAAGACAACTTCATACCTCTTCGTTGAATGGCTCCTTCGATAAGTATCTAATCTAAACTATTGTATTTGTCTGTATTCATACATTGCGGATGTAAAAATGAAGTAACCATAGGTCTTACCTATTGCAATCTTTTGGCCCCCAATTCATGGCTTATATTGTTCTGTCACTATAGCAGAGGGAAATTTCCTGTCGCTTTTGCCCTCGTTATCAATCCCCCGGAGAATTTCGGGATGTAGAGAGTCTATTCCCTACACTTGCTTTTCCAGAAGTCATTTGACTTAACGAATCGGATTGTGTGGCGGCATCGGTTATATTATAGACTTCTCCAGAGTATCGTGACAATCTATGGTATGAAGTCGAGACATATGCCTCATGTTAGCTTGCCTTTTATTTCATTTGGAAAGGCGGGTGAATTGGATGTCGCCTAGAAGACAAAAAGTATCGAGAGAACATTAATCGGCTTTTACAAACATTTATCTTCGTATATATGAAAAGAAATTGAGTTTCGAAGAGTCTCTCATAAAAATCCTGCTTTAATATTTTTCATTTCGTTTGCAAAGGTGGGGGAAGACGATTTTTCAATTGGCCTCATCGGAAATCGATGAAGGATTGCCATAGAGTTGTCACAGTAGGTTTGTGTTAAGAGGTCCTCGACACATTCTTATTCAACTTTTATACTTCCGTTCTTAGCGTTCATATGTCCCACCGTGATAGATATCGTCAGAGCATGGAGCCATGCTTTACTAAATAAAACCACTAACTATGTCGAGAAATGTCCTGTAAGATTTGGTCTTGATCTGGCGATTTCTATCGCTTCGAGACAAAGAACGCCAATCAGAGATTCATCGAGGTCGAAAGATGGCGCTGAGAGATCGCTCAAATTCTTGGTCACAACTGCAAGGCAATCCCTTTAACCAGCCTTTCCAAACTAAATGGAACGTATGAAAACCCAATTTTTTAAAAGTATTATTTTAAGCCTAGCTTCTATCCAAATATACTAGGACAGCTAATTGCAAGAACCGGCAGTTTGCTTGGCAATTATTATGTTCTAGGCGGCATTAAAGTTAATAACGTATAATGCACACTAGAGACGAATTTTATAGCTCTTCTGAGAAGACATTCAATGTAATGGTAAATTCGTCCTTTTTTATAAATCCCTATCCAGCGTCGTCGGAGTGAACAAAAAAGTAAAAATGGACATCCGTCTAAGATAGACACATCGGTCACTAAAACTAAGTGGTCGTGTAGTCGCTGTCCGTGTGGAGCATAGAATGCTGAATTTCAATGATAATTCCTATAAGGCAACTCATGAGATTTTGATAAAAAGGCTTCTTCTAAGAGTGTGTATGCCGTGCTCACTAATTTTGAGACCTGAAACTTTAGTATCGTTAATTCTATGGTACCTGGACCGACCAAGATAGAAAGTAAAAGATTAGATGCAGAAGATTTGCAAGGTCAGTCATCTGTAGCTCAGAAATGTCTGTGGGTATTTAAGCTTTTTTAAATGCAAACAAGCTGATGAATTTAAAGTGAAACATGGTAGCCGAAGCGATTTACTCCCATGTGCGGATATGCAGCATAGGTAGAGGCCACGTATAGATGTTGTGCGAAGATGTAGCCGCTGAAAGACTACGCAACGACACAATACGAAAACACAAAGTGGCTCTTAAGTCTGTCTGGACAAAGTTCTTTTAGCTATTGCCTAACAAATAGAGTCGTCGGAGAATATTGTTTTTGTTTCGAGGTTGGGTGAGTATGGTCTTCTTGGGCCTTGAAGGTCTAGATCACCTTATCACGCAGCTACGATGCACTTGAATACTGCGATAAGAGGCTGCTTGAAGAAGAGACATGCAAATACTCCACAAAGAAGCGGCACCTGCGAAGGTGCTTTGAGGAGGGTTCCCGGTCCGAGTAAGGCCCGTATGCATCCCATACTAGGGACTCGTTAACTTTTCTATTTTATGTTTTGTTTAGAAGAATCACTGATTGAATGGACGTGGGCTCTGATTTTGGTCATGCACACGAAAATAGAGGAGCGAAGGTTTATTTGTGTGAGCAAGATGTACGTTGCCTAATTATCATACTACCGGAAAGCTGGACTGATGTGCATGGCTTGGTTACGAGAAGGAGATTTAGAGCGATTGATTTAAGTGTATGTCTAATTTCTCCAAACTTTGTACATTTTCCGAGGCTTTGATTGTGATGAAGACAAGATGGGCACTAATCGAGTAGTACCCAAGTACGAGAAAAAGGGAGTCCTAGTGAATGTTTGGAATGTAAACGGAAGGATGGCAATGCAGAACTCAAACTAATCCTCTTACATCGTTGACTGACTCGAAGTGTGCACTGAAATAATGGTCGTTAAATCAGTCTTAGGTCGTGTGGTACGTCGTAAATGGAATATAGATTGTCTAATGTGTGGTCACCCGTAGATAACACAGGACAAAGCCTGACGATAATTTGGGTCGCCGGACACACTAAAGGTAAACTATAGTAGATATGAAGCTCTTCGTCAAATAAGGAAACACTATTTTTATACCAAACGCCAGTAAGTTGTGTCGGAGAGAAGGGAAAATTGTTTAAAGTGAATATTTATTTGAGATTAATATGACTAGATGATTAATACAGCAATCACAAATGGGGAATAATAAATAAATGCACAAAATTAAATGAAGCAAGAATTAAATAGTTTAATAAGTTTCCGTCTTCTTAAGTCCCAAACGTATAGTTTCGTTATAAATGTTGAGAATTTTACGTTTTATCAAGCCATCAAGGCAACGCTACTAATTTGCAATCTCCGCCACCTACTTGGTAAAATACTGCGAGAAATCAATTGTAAACTCATGCCTTATCCAGTTAATATACCTTACATGTCATGGTAGTTTACGTTTTGGTTATTACTTCAGAGAAGTTAAACGGAAAGCTGCTAGGTTAGACCATGATGTTCACAGACCTGAGAAAACCATTTGATACTTCATTCCTAATTTTATATCATTCTAATACAAAGTTAAAAAATTTATAAAATCTCTAAAGGCAAAAATGCAAATCAAGGGCACTACAAGAGAGACAATCATGTAAAAAATATGAGGTGATGGAGGTGATGAAGGATAGGCAGTGGAATTTTTCAAAAATGATATGAATACGTTACTTTTACGCTACATAGTCAAAGGTGCAGGTTAGTGACAGAACATAACTTAATTTCAAGGTAATACGCTTCTTAGATATCACATTTCTGAAGTGAGATTTTCGCTGCCGAACAAACATTTTGCCATTACACTCGAGTACATTATTTAGATTACCACTAAGAATCTGGGTTGGGAGAGGCCTGACTTCTCTTAGGTGGCTAGAATTTATTT